TTTTTCCATTGATTTTGAGTGGAAGAACAAGGGAGAGACAGAGAGAAATATTGATGTGAGAGAAACACATCGATTGGTTGCCTCCTGCAGGAGCCCTGACCAGGGTCTGGGCCTGGGAGGAGCCTGCAACCAAGGTACCTGCCCTTGACAGGAATCGAACCCAGGACCCTTCGGTCCACAGGCCGATGCTTTATCCACTGAGCAACACCAGCTAGGGTCAGTTCATGGGATCTTTTAAGAGATGGCCTCCCCCGGGGGTGTTCATCCCTGTCCTCCCAGAACTCACCAAGGCAGAGAAAGGCCGTAGAGGTGGCAGTCATGGCACCGCCTCCCACCAGACAAGGCTGTGTAGAGGGACAGAACCAGGCAGCCTGGCAGAGCAGACAGACCCACAGGATGTGGGCAGAAGGCGGTGTTCCCATGCCTGGGCTTGGAGGAGGGCGAGCGGCTCCCTCCCCGTGCGTGCGCCCGAGGGCTCCCGTGTCCCCCGCAGACAATGGAGGGCAGACCCGTGGTGCCCTCTGCCCGGAGCTTGAGCCTGCCAGCCGTGACCTCTCCCTGGAGGGGACCAGGTTCTGGTTCCACTCCAGAGTCAGTCTCGTGGGTGTGCCGGGTCATGAGTGGGATGGGAAACTTCCCACTTCCCACTTTCTCAGGAACTCCCTAGATGGAAATGTCTTTCTTCCTGTCCGCCAGCCCTCTAGCCAATGTCTCTTTGCATCCTGGGATGTTTGCCTGGAGGAGGATGTCCATCTGTGAAACAGACAGATGGGTCAGAGTGCTGTCTGAGGTTGGGTCATCAGAAGGCAGATGGCCAGTAGCTCATTGCACAATGCATTGCTTGTTCAAAAAAAGAGAGAGAGAGACATAAATACACAAAAATATAAAAATGTATGACAGCCTTAGCCGGTTGCTCAGTGGCTAAAGCGTTGGCCTGCGCACTGAGGAGTTGTGGGTATGATTCCCTGTCAAGGGCACGTACCTGGATTGCAGGTAGTAGATCTCCACCAATTGATGTGCCTCTCTCTCATAGATGTTTCCCTCTCTCTCTCTCTTTCTCTCTCTCTAAAATCAATTTAAAAAGAAAAAAGAAAAGTCCTTTATATGCACTGCCCCACTTAATCCTCACCAGAGTCTCTCAGGTACATACTATTATTCAGCCCCATTTTACAGGTGAGGAAACTGAGGTACAGATAGGTTAATTCACTCACCTGCGGTCACACAGTCACTGAGTGGAGGATCTGAACTCAAACCCAGGAAGTCTGGCTGTAGAGCCTGTGCTCTCAACCTCTGTATTGGATGAAAAGGGCCTGAATCTGATAGTTGGAGAATGGGGGGCATCTCTTTTTTCTGAGACTGGAAGAATGAAAGGTTGGAAGGGCAGAGAGTTGATAGACTTCCGATGTTCCCTCCTACAGAAGGCTGCCACTACGGCAAGGAGAGGATGAGGTGGCCTGATTGCGAGGACCTCCAGCGAGGAGGGTTGTGAGGAGAGAGGCTGTGTGGGGATTGAGAGCAGAAGCTGCCCTTGGCAGGTGAAGGGGTGGCACAGCAGCCTGAGGGCCCAACAGAAGTGAAGGCTCTGGGTTTCTCCCAGCCAC